GATCAGCTTTAAACCGATTCATGCAATGATCCGTCCCATTCCTGTGTGCCGTTCTGTATGTTTCCCCTGGACATATCACAATTTATATCCAAGCGCTTTGTGCGACAACTTAGCGCACGCCCAGCCATGTATTTTGACAGTAGTTTCTAGCTACACTATTGATATCAGAATGCTCGCATCGCTCCAGAAAGCTGCTACTACTACTGCCGCCACTGCCGCTCGAATGGCTGCCCCGGCTGCTCGCCGATTCGCGGTAAGTGCGGTGAGTTGTGGCGGCCGGGTATTTATGTCCGGTTTAGGTCACAGTTGCCGGCTCTGAGGCTGCTGCCAAGCAGCAACTATCCACTGCTTATCCTCCTCTCAAGGTTGCATGGTTCACCGCTTCTTGGTGCGGTCCTTGCAAGCAAGTGACTCCTTATGTAAGTCATAGTGGAACTCTATTGTTTCGGATCTGCCTGTGTGTTGGATTCTTGGTTGTTTCCTGTGTCCGAATTGTTGCTTTCTCAGATTGAGAACCTTGCGAAGAACAACGAGAAGGTGTCTTTCATCAAGATCGACATTGATGACTTTGATGATATGGCTCAGGAGAACAAGGTCATGTCCGTGCCTACGTTCGCCTTCTATAAGGATGGCAAGGAGGTAGGACTATCGGATAGTTCAGTTTTTTCCACTCTGTTGATATGTGCTCACCGCGGTATCTCAGGTTCAGCGTGTGACCGGAGCTGATCCCGTGAAGATCGAGGAGATTGTCAAGCAACTATGTCAGTAAATGGCTCAGAGTAACCCCTACGGTGGGTGATAAAAATTTGCTCTGCCGCGTTGGATTTCTTGGTAACAATCCCTTGATGTTATGTGCCATCGTTTTCGAATCAATGAATACCATTTATTGTCTGATTCTGAACATACTGAGTGTTTAGTGGTTCTAGTGGGGTTGACTGGACTGTTGATTTGTGGACATTCGTCTTGAATCCGAATAGAGAAGCTTATTAGCTATCGAAGTGCTAACAAAAGTGAAGGAAAGCCAATCTTTCGAGGAGCGGTTAGAGAACAACGAAATTTAAACGTTAAACTTTACAGTACCTGAGATTTGACTGAGCTTAGTGGAGCTCCACAACTTGCTCTCCAGGATTCAAGTCGGGAGTATGGCTGGATGGTCACCCATTGGTTTTTCATTTCTTGATGACTCATCTAATATTTGGCGGCTTGGTTAAACTAGCATCGATATAAAATCGTATGAAAGTAGTTCGGTGGACTGAATAGACACTGCTCATTTCCAGAATACTGTTTCTGTTTTATTGGTCGGAATTTGAGTTGTGATACTCTGTGCCCATCTAAATTGATTCAGACGTCCATGAGTACAACTAGAAGAACACAACAAGTTATAACTGTCATTCACTATTATTATAACAGACAGTTTGGGTCTTGAATTGCTGTAACTTATCAGCAGTTGTAACAGCAGACTACATCGTAGCCATCTGATTATAGAAACTGCTCTAGAACATCTCCGCTTATTAACCAAAATGAACCGAGGAACGAAGCTGGACGGGGCCCAACCTGAGAAGGCCACTTGACCACGAGTGCCTTTGACGGACCTACCACCACTCCACGCCTTTTTATAACGACCGAGCCTTCGATGGCTGGACTAGAAGATTTCTGTTCTTCCCTCTGCTTCACAGCTTCGGTGATATGTGCTATAGTGCTGAACTCTCTTGGTTTCAGCCAGAGCTTGAGCTGAGATGAACAAGGTCGCAGGTTCAATCCCTGGACCTGCCATTTTCTTACCAAATGCCTTTCCGGCAAAGACGTGTGATCGTCCATAACTCCAATCAGCTCATTCACGGAGCCCTCCAAAAGCAACGAGCCGTTCTTGCGTATCAACTCGTGAGTATTTATGATACCCTAAAAGCACCATACGAGTCGTAGCGATATACGCCTCTCTTGAACTCACTTCAGTGGAGCTCTCACCGTCCGCACCGGGACCAACGACGAGGAAGCCAACTTCCCATTTCGTTTCGTGAGATATCGAGGCACAAGCGCAGGAATCTGTGTCTCTGCTATC